TCTGCCCAGAACCTGCCCTCCCTCCCACTCTGAGCCCTGCAGGTACCCTCAAGGCCGTGGGTGTGGCGCGCTCTTCTGCACACGAGATTTGCATCCTAACCTCTTAGGGTAAAACAGGGCTTCTGACTGGCGCCTGGTGTTTCCACTGTGAATGTGTAGGAGGCAAAGTGTGGGCTGTAGCCTGGGTGGGGACACACGGCTAGGTGTGTCTTCCTTCACCAAAGAAGGGTTTCAACTACTCATTTGCAAGTTTGCTGGAAAAAAAAGATAATAAAAATCAGTCCAGTTTCCTGGATCTGCAGCTGCAGTGACCTCACAGGGGGCCCTCTGGGAATAGATTGCCTCCATGCCTTCAGTCAACAAACGTATGTCTGCTCTATGCCAGGCCTTGGGCTGAGAACCAGAAACTGGTAAGAGCAGCAGCTCCCCTCTTAGGGGTTTACTCTGTGCCGGATCATTTCATCCCCACAATAGTCCTGTGCAATAGGTGTTACTAGTATCTCCATTCTAATTTTTTTTTTTTTTTTTCCTGAGATGGAGTCTTGCCCTGTTGCCCAGCCTGGAGTGCAGTGACGCAATCTTAGCTCACTGCAACTTCCGCCTCCCGGGTTCAAGCAGTTCTCCTGTCTCAGCCTCCCGAGTAGCTGGGATTACAGGTGCCCGCCACCATGCCCAGCTAATTTTTGTAGTTTTAGCAGAGACGGGGTTTCACAATGTTGACCAGACTGGTCTTGAACTCCTAACCTCATGATCTGCCCGCCTTGGCCTCCCAAAGTGCTGGGACTACAGGCAGAGCCATCTTTATTTTAGAATTAAGGAAACAGAGGTCAGCTAACTTGCCCAGGGACACCCAACAGCCCAGTTGCAGAGCCCACACTCCAGCCCGCCACAGGTACGAAACTGAGCAGCAGCTAGTGTGGTCAGCTGGAGCCAGAGGGGAGCAGAGACACGCAGACTCTGAGGGTCCAATAAGGTGATGCCTGAATCGGCCAGGCTCATACTCATAATCTCCGTACTTTGGCAGGCCCAGGTGGGAGTTGAAGCCAGGAGTTCCGAGACAAGCCTGGGCAACAAAGCAAGACCCTATCTCTACAACAATTATATAAAAATTAGCCATGTGCATGGTACATACCTGTCCAGTTACCCTGGAGGCTGAGGTGGGAGGATTGCCTGAGCCCAGGAGTTTGAGGCTTTGGTGAGCCATGATCAGGCCACCGCACTCCAGCCTGGGCAAAAGAGTGAGACCCTATATGTGAAAAAAATAATAATAAAATTTAATTTTTATAAAAGGGCCAATAGGCATAGGCATGGGCCAGTCTGAGGTTGGCTGGTGAGCTCTGCACATTTGAAGACTTGGAGGCATGGCAGGACCAGGCACCATCCGTGGAAAGCGTACTTATCTTGAGTGTGGTTAGGGCGGGAACCAAGATTGGGGTGGCAGGGCCACAGGGGGGAGGGCCTGTTAGTGGATGTGGCACAACCCCCCCAGTATTTTTTTTTTTGAGACAAGTCTCGCTCTGTTGCCCAGGCTGGAGTGCAATGTCGCGATCTCGGCTCACTGCAACTTTCACCTTCCAGATTCAAGTGATTCTCCTGCCTCAGCCTCCCGAGTAGCTGGGATTACAGGCGAGCACCACCACACCCGGCTAATTTTTGTATTTTTAGTGGAGATGGCGTTTCACCACGTTAGGCAGGCTAGTCTCAAACTCCTAAGCTCAGGTGATCCACCTGCCTCCACCTCTCAAAGTGCTGGGATTACAGGCGTGAGCTGCACCGACCAGGCCAGGTCTAGGGAGCCGAACAGAGCAGTGACAGGGTCGGGGTTGAGGCTGCCACCTTGAGATTAGGTTGGAGAGAGCTCCACTGAAGGCTGGAGACCAGTAAGGCATTCAGCGCAGGTGCCAGGTAAGAGCTGATCAGGACTGGGCCTCCCTTGGGCTGGTGGGGTGGCCAGGAGAGACCACAGCTGTAAGGACCCTCCTGGGCAGGCCCCCCACCCTCCAATCCCTGGCTCAACCCTGAGTTTTCCCATGCAGATCTGGGCCCCAAGGCCAGCTTTGGCCCGGTTGGTGATGGGATCTTCGCCATTCATATCAAGCCAATCTTGGGGCCTGGGCCTAGAGGCCGGAGGTTAAAGGCTCAGATTAGGTCACTTCTTTGATGTGGTAGAGGGTAATGGGTATTTAATGAGTTAATCCAAAGTGCTGTAATCCCAGTACTTTGGGAGGCTGAGGTGGGCGGATCACTTGAGGTCAGGAGTTGAGACCAGCCTGGCCAACATGTCAAAACCCCGTCTGTACTAAAAACAGAAAAATTAGCGTGGCGTGGTGGCGCGCGCCTGTAGTCCCAGGTACTTGGGAGTCTGAGGCAGAGAATCACTTGAACCTGGGAGGTGGAGGTTGCAGCTGAGCTGAGATAGCACCATTGCACTCCAGCCTGGACAACAGAGTGAGACTGTCTCAAAAAACAAACAAACAAACAAAAAAACCCACTACCACCAACAAAAACACAATAGATGGGGAAACCAAGGCTGGGGCAGGAAGGATTGGGTTAGGGTATTAATCTAAGGTGAGACGTGGTCCTGGGTCTACTCAGATGGGGAGGTTGGCGGGGTGGGGAGCTTGAAAGGGTCTTGAAGGCAGAGCGTGGGTGACTGACTCCTCAGGTAGGCCCGGCCTGCTCTCTGCTGTAGACCCTGGACAGCGTAGCCCACTCTGGTGGCTGGGGGCTTCTTCCTATCTGGCGCCTGAGGATTCTGGGAATGCCTGCTGGGTAAGGGGGCTGTTGGGACAGTGGCTCAAGGCAAGGCTCCGTGCAGCTCACAGCGCAGCTCAACAGTGAGCTGAGGTTCCACTGTCGTTCTCACTTTGCGGGGCGTGGAGGTACCGGGGTCTCCACGGGAGCACAGAGCAGGAGACTGCCTTTTTGAGGGGTAGGGAAAGGGGGGAAAAGCAAACAAGGGCTGGAGCTGCTTTCCTAGGGAAATGCCATTTGCATAGACACCCAAGGCAGCCGGAAGTTCTGGACACAGTTCTTTTAATGCCACCTTAACATGCACAGTGCTGGCAGTCTATACAATGTAAAATATCCCATCTGTGAAATTTTATTTTTTCTTCTTGAGTCAGAATCTAGCTCTGCCTCCCAGATTCAAGTTGGGATTCTAGGCATGCGCCACCACACCTGGCTCATTTTGTATTTTTATTAGAGGCGGGGTTTTACCATGTTGGCCAGGCTGGTCTCAAACTCCTGACCTCAGGTGACCCACCCACCTCAGCCTCTCAAAGTGCTGGGATTACAGGCGTGAGCCACCGCACCCAGCCCATCCATCTCCCTTGAATACTGAAAGCAAGTTGTGATCACATACTTGTGCCTAGGCCTGTGGGAGGGCAGCCCTGTGGGTCCTGCCTTCTGTCAGTTCTCCCTCGTGTGGGGGGCAGGGAGACTTGGAGCTCTGTCCCTTCTTGGCTCAGTCACGAACTTCTCTAAGCCTCAGTGTCCTGTGTGAACAAACAGCTCAGTGAGATAGTGGGAGGGCAGAGTGTTCTATCAGCAGGCATGGGGAATTGAAAATTAAGAACACCCAGGGTATTATGGTAAGAAAATAATGAGTTGAAGCATAAAGGTAATGGTTAGTGCCAGCTTCCTCCCAGCGTGCCAGGCCCTGTTCAAAGTACATGAAGGAGTTCCTTATTTCATCTTCCCAATAGCCCAGGGCAGGGCTCTCAGACCATGAAACCCATTTCACAGATGAAGAAACTGACACACTGGTGCTAACTGCCAGAGCTGGGCTTTGAACTAGGCCATTAGATTCCCATGCCACAGTCATCGTCATTATCATCGTCTAGATCGAAGACTGTTTGGTACACTGTGGGGTAAATGTGGGGTACATGATAGTGAATCGGGTCGCAGAACCCTTCTCTGCCATCAGGATGAAACATTTATTGACGTGGGAATTCGCAGTGATCACAGTTAGGAAGGCCTTTGGTGGCAAAGAACAAGAAACTCAATGAATGGCGATGAGGACACATTTGGGTTCATTTTTCTTACAAACAGTTGGAGGAGGCAGCTCAGCAACACCCTGAGGCCTGGGCGCTCTGCCTCCCCACTCTGCTCTTGCTGGCCAGCCGCTGCAGCTCCATCTTTGAAGGGGCTGCCCTGGCTGTGTCAGCTCCCTGGCATCCAACTCCTGCCTCCACCCTCTGAGCCCTCATTGACCAGAACTGGGTTACACGGTTGCCACCAGCTGCAAGGGATGCTGGGAAGCTGAGGGAGAGGAGGGCCGCGGTTGGCTTAGATGAATGACGATGCAGGACCACCCCGAAGAAAACTGGGGTTCTATCAGCAAGGAGCCAGGTGGAATGGATATTGGAGAGGTAAATAGCGTTTGCCAGTAAAGAAGACTGTAAAACACTGTGTATGGGGTGATCCCATTTGTGAAGAAGGATGTGTGATGCGCACATGTGTTTAGGAAAAACACTAGAAGAATTAGCGATGGTCTCACTGGGAATGGGGATTGTGATACGTTTTTCTCAGGCTGCTTCTCTGCCTGTCTTCTCAAGAGAAATAGCAGACACCAAAGAACAGGTGTGGCCTTCTGTTAAGTGGTGCAGAGGAATTGCCTTGCCTGTGCAGCCTCGCCTCTGTCCCCTGTGCTGACAGCAGGTGCCTGGGTTTTCTTGAGGTCTGGTGTCAGAGAACTTCTAATATTTATTTATACTCTGATGTTGTTTCACAAAGAAGAAAAAGGCTGGGCACGGTTAGTTCACGTCTGTAATCCCAGCACTTTGGGAGGCCGAGGTGGGTTGCATCACTTTGAGGTCAGGGGTTCAAGACCAGCCTGGCCAACATGGTGAAACCCCCGTCTTTACTAAAAACACAAAATAATTAGCCAGGCGTAGTGGTGCATGCCTATAGTCCCAGCTACGCAGGAGGCTGAGGCAGGAGAATCGCTTGAACCCAGGAGGCAGAGGTTGCAGTGAGCCAAGGTTGTGTCACTGCGCTCCAGCCTGGGGGACAGAGCAAGGCTCAGTATCCAAAAACAAAGAAAGAAAGAAAGGGCCCTTATGAATCATCTTCAAGTCCCTCCCTTCCAAGAACAGAGATGCTGGGCGATTTGCCCAGAGGCACACAGCATGTAGCGGGATTCATGCCTGCAGGAGCTGGGGCTGGGGGATATTGTCAGCTTTAGCGGATCAAAAGAGCGGGTGAGTAGGGCTATGCAATCTGGTGGTTACCCTGTGAGAGAGCCCCCAGACTGCTCAGTTCTGAGGGGTCCAGCCATATGCTGTCTTTTTGCCCCAAAGGAGAAATGTCTGGAGTAAGACCCATCTCCAGAGACACCTTGATGGAGACCCTCCTGTATGAGCAGCTCCTGGAACCCCTAACCATGGAGGTTCTTGGTGTCACTGACCCTGAAGAGGACCTGGACCCTATGGAGGACTTCAATCCTTTGGAGTGTATGGAGGACAGGTAGGTCCCCATGGCCTGCCCCACCCCATGCCTGAGAGTGACTTCATGGGGGGGCCGGATGAGCAGAGCTTCTGTGACTGGGGGAGCACTGCAGATGCCCCCCAGGCCGGGCCCCTGAAAGGAAGATTCCCCAGATGTGGGCATGGAGGCTTCTGCCCTGGGATTGGCTTCGCTTTGCTGTCCCTTCTCCCCTGACACCAGCTCACAGACCCCTGGACAGCCACCATGTTCACAGTCCCAAGATGGACCTGGGGCCACTGGCTGTCAAAATGGCACAGTGTTTGGGCCTCAGGGAGCTAGACAGGCCAGGCCCTTATTGACCTGCTGAGTATATCAAGGCCTCTTGAAGGAGGTGGCTCTGTTGCCAGAAAGGGGACCCGATCCAGATCCCAAAAGAGGGTTCTTGGATCTCAAGCAAGAAAGAATTTGGGCCACATGCAGTGGCTCGCACCTGTAATCCCAGCACTTTGGGAGGCTGAGGCAGGTGAATCACTTGAGGTCAGGAGTTCTAGACCAGCCTGGTCAACATGGCAAAACCCCATCTCTACTAAAAATACAAAAAGTAGCTGGGGCTGGGCGTGGTGGCTCACACCTATAATCCCAGCAGTTTGGGAGGCCGAGTCGGACGGATCACGAGGTCAGGAGATCGAGACCATCCTGGCTAACATGGTGAAACCCTGTCTCTACTAAAAAATACAAACAATTAGCCGGGCGTGGTGGCAGGCGCCTGTAGTCCCAGCTACTGGGGAGGCTGAGGCAGGAGAATGGCGTGAACCTGGGAGGCGGAGCTTGCAGTGAGCCGAGATTGTACCAATGCACCTCCAGCCTGGGCAGCAGAGCGAGACTGCATCTCAAAAAAAAAAAAAAAAAAAGTAGCTTGGCCTGGTGGCACATGTCTGTAGTCCCAGCTAGTCGGGAGGCTGAGGCAGGAGAATATCTTGAACCCAGGAGGCAGAGGTTGCAGTGACCCAAGATTGCACCAATGTACTCCAGCCTGGACAACAGAGTGAGACTCCATCTCAAAAAAAGAAAAGCTGCTCTATAGGCAGAGCAGGTGCATGTGCTGCTCGACTGAATATGCTTATAGTTGTTTATTGATTATATGCTAAACAAGGGGTGGATTATTCAGGAGTTTCCGGGTAAGGGGTGGGCAGTTCCCGGAACTGAGGATTCCTCCTCCTTTTAGACCATAGAGGGCAACTTCCTGACGTTGCCGTGGCATTTGTAAACTCGTGGCACTGGTGGGAGTGACTCCTAGCATGCTAATAGAGTTGGTGCACAGTGAATAGCGAGGATGACTGGAGGTCACTTTTGTGGCCATCTTGGCTTTGGTGGACTTTGGCTGGCGTCTTTGCTGAATCCTGTTTCATCAGCAGGGTCTTTGTAACCTGTATCTTATGCTGACTTCCTATCTCATCCTGTGACTGTGACTTAGAATTCCTAGCCTCCTGGGAATGCAACCCAGTAGGTCTCAGCCTTTTGTTACCCAGCCACTATTCAAGATGGAGCTGCTCTGGTTCAGTTGCCTCTGACGGCTCTCATTTTAGAAAACCAGAACCGGGCTGGGCGCTATGGCTGATGCCTGTAATCCCAGCACTTTGGGAGGCTGAGGTGGGTGGATCACCTGAGGTTGGGAGTTCGAGACCAGCCTGGCCAACATGGTGAAATCCCATCTCTACTAAAAATACAAAAATTACCCGGGTATGGGGGTCGGGGAGGGGGGCGGGCGCCAATAGTCCCAGCTACTTAGGAGGCTGAGGCAGGAAAGTCACTTGAACCCAGGAGGCAGAGGTTGTACTGAGCCCTGAGATTGCACCACCGCACTCCAGCCTAGACAACAGAGTGAGACTCCATCTCACAAAGAGAGAAGGAGAAAAGAAAGAGAAAGAAAAGAGAAAGAAAACCAGAACCTATGGAAGAGGCTGAGGAGGCCATGCAGTTCCTGGCCCCAGCTTCAAAGAATTACTGAGGCATGAAGGGATCTTCCTAGGACTGACAAGGCCCCTGGAGGCAAAAGGATTTGCCTGGGGTTTCAGGGGCCAAGGTCCAGTAGGACCTGACCCTTGCACTCTGCCAGCTGCTCCCAGCTATGTCCAGGCACACCCGGCCTTCCCAGCGGCAGGAAGGCCACGCACTTCTTTTCTTTTTTTTGAGACGGAGTCTCTGTCGCCCAGGCTGGAGTGCAGTGGCATGATCTCTGCTCGCCACAAGCTCCGCCTCTCTGGTTCCCGCCATCCTCCTGCCTCAGCCTCCTGAGTAGCCGGGACTACAGGTGCCCACCACTACATCCGGCTAATTTTTTGTACTTTTAGTAGAGATGGGGTTTCATCATGTTAGCCAGATGGTCTCGATCTCCTGACCTCGTGATCTGCCTGCCTCGGCCTCCCAAAAGGTGCCGGGATTACAGGCGTGAGCCACCACACCCGGCCGCCCGGCTAATTTTTATTTGGTATTAGTAGAGACGGGGTTTCACCATGTTGGCCAGGCTGGTCTTGAACTCCTGACCTCAGGCAATCCACTCACCTTGGCCCCACAAAGTGTTGGGATTACAGGCGTGAGCCACCACGCCCGGCCAAGACTGGCACTTTCATTCTTCCCCTGGTACAGATGAGGGATGTGAAGGCCCAGGAGCAGCTGACCTCAGTAGTTTCTACCCTGAGCCTGGAAGAGAATGATCAGGCCTGACCTGAGCTGTTGCTTTCTGCTGGGGAATCCTGGCTCTGATGTGGCGCTTCCCACAGGCCAGGGACCAGCTCCAGGTTCCACAGGATTCTTTTCTGCTGTCAGCCTCAGGATTTTTAGTCATTAAGGTCCTGGACACAGGGATTGGGCTGGCTGGGATTTTAGAACTGGAGGGACTTGTCCATTAATGGACAAGGATGGATGGACAGTGTTTTCCATCCTGGGGCAGTGTTTGCCTGAGGTTCCCCAGGGTGACAGGAGGTAGGACCACAGCCCCCAACCCTGATTGCCAGCCCACCCCTGTACACCTCCCACCTGCATCCCCTTCAAGTAGGGAGCGTAGGCCCAGGGCATTAGCAGGTCAGGTGGGTGGGGCCAGGGCCCTGGCCTGGCCTCAGCTCAGGGCCCCTAGGAGTCCCACCTCCCTGGGAATTCCTCCGCTGTAGTCACTGGGATGGAATGCACACAGGTCCCTGGTGGAGGTCCAGACCAGCAAGCTGGGAGGGTGGGGAGTGTCTCAGTCTTTGTGTGGGAGTGGATGTGGATGGGGTGTAGGATCAAGGATGTGGCTTAGTTGGGGGGGCCACCAGGGGCTTCTTAGTCCCCCCATTCTGAGAGTGGTGGTGCCAACAAGGCTGGTTTCAGGATTGGGAACCAGGACACAGGTCTTAGAGCCCCCTCACCTCCCACAAAGGAAGGTAAGCTGCAACCCCTGTGGGAAGCCAGCCTCAGCCATCCAGGGCGCTCAGCACTCCCCAGACCTGCCTGTTCCCCTTGTCCACCGTTTCCACCAAAGCCCACAGGTGGGCCTGCCCCAGGATTCTTCAGGGAAGTTCAGAGACCGAGTTCTGGATGTTCAGGCATCCCTGGGTGCACGGGCAGGCTGCCTCAGGAGACTCACCTGCTGCTGACGCTAGTGGGCAGTCACGGGCACAAGAAGGCCTGGGACTCGCCACGCAGGCAGTGCTGCTCCCTGGTGTCTCTGGCACCTCTGGGGCCACCCACGGATGGGACCTCGCGGGTATCTCTGAATCCAAGTGGGAGCTGGAGGAGGGATGCAGGGAGGCCCGCTCAATGCCTGCCCCGAATCTGACACCATCTTTTATCCTCTGGGCCACTCCCAGCCACACACAATCCATTGGCTGGGTGGGTCCAGGTACATGTGGCTTCCACAGCACAGCCACACCCCGACTCCTATGTGTGCTCCCTGCAGTGACATGTTGGCCCTGCGGCTGGCCTGCATCGGGGACGAGATGGATGTGAGCCTCAGGGCCCCGCGCCTGGCCCAGCTCTCTGAGGTGGCCATGCACAGGTAACCGGCCTGTGCCCTGCCCAGGCCTCTATACCTGGGGAGGGGCCCTGGGCGGTGGGTAAAGGCCCTGAGTGCAGCATAGGGCTGGGCCATGTGGAAGCCCTGTGGGGAATGTATCCTGACACTCTGGGGCTGTACTGAAACCCTTTGCTGCTTCCCGCACCTCCCTGGGAGCCCCCAGCTCCTGGCACTGGCCCCCTGCCACCTGTCCCTGGCATTCCTGGGCAACAGACAAAGCAGAGCCCAGGGCCCTTCTCTCGCCATCCTCATCAAGCCCAGATGGTACATTTCCACCATGGTCTTTAAAGGAGGTGCAACGTAAGCTCGGATCCTAGACCCTGAGGGCTGGGCCTCTCAGCTAGTCTCCGGTGGGGGAACAGAGTGGGCAGTGGCTTGCCAGGGCCCTGTAGAATGGGGGTTTATTTTCTATGTGGCCAGCTCCGGAAGACAGGGACACTGGCAGGCGGCTGGCTGGGGAAGGAAGCAGGAAATCAGAATGAATTTCACCACAAACAGGCCCCTGCAGGTGAAGGTGCCCATGGAAAGGGCCCCGCGTGGCTGTGGGGTGGGAGGGCACAGGCCCCTGCTGTGATGGTGTCATCTAAGTACAGGCTGTCCCTACCTGTTCCTGCAGTAATGGCTTTGTCCCCCCATCCTCTTTGTCTGTAGCCTGGGTCTGGCTTTCATCTACGACCAGATGGACGACATCAGGGATGTTCTTAGAAGTTTCATGGATGGTTTCACCACCCTTAGGGAGAACATAATGAGGTTCTGGAGATCCCCGAATCCCAGGTCCTGGGTAAGAGCCTTAGAGATTCCTGACCCTGATTTGCTCTGCGGCCAGTGGGGGCTGTCAGAGCTGCTCCTCAGGGCGCCACAGTCCCCATCACTCCCTGTCATCTGCTGTGTCATCATTGTCCACATCCGCCTGGTCCCATAGGCTTCTGAGTTTGGGATTCCTGGTTATGAGTGCACAAACCAGTGCGTGGTCCTGGGTCTCCCTCTGGCCCGAGAGCCTTCACCTGGCAGACAGGATTCTCGTCTCCTCGCCAGGGCAGAGGCCTCCCTGAGCAGCCGTCCTGGCAGCCTGGTGCCACTCTGCACTGCCCACCACCAGGGCAGCTAACCGCCCTGACCTGTGTCCACCCTTTGCCTGTGTCCCACAGACTGGCAGCCGCTGGCCTCTTTGGCCATGTCCTCAGGGCCACTTTCCCCCTCTCCTGAACTCCTTCCTTCTCTGGTTCCCTCGAGCTGCTTCCCAGTCCCCACCTCCCTGGGCTTCCCCTTGGAACTCTGCTGTCACCCCGTCTGGCCTCATTGCTGGGGCCTGCTCCGAGCCTGACTCCTCTGTTTTGCTCCCGCAGGTGTCCCGTGAACAGGTGCTGCTGGTGCTGCTGCTGCTGCTGGCACTGCTGCTGGCGCTGCTCAGCGGGGGCCTGCACCTGCTGCTCAAGTGAGGCCCCAGCGGCTCAGGGCAGGGCTGGCCCCACCCCTGTGACCACTGCCCTGGAGGTGGCGGCCTGCTGCTGTTGTCTTTTTAACTGTTTTCTCATTATGCCTTTTTATATTTAAACTCTGAGATAGTGCTGGAACACTGCTGAGGTTTTATACTCAGGTTTTTTGTGTTTTTTTAAATTCCAGTTTTCGTTTTTTCTAAGAGATGAATTCCTATGGCTCCGAACTTGTTGCCGGTTAACTGTGGCTTGTGCCCAGGAAGAGCCATTCACTCCTGCCCCCGCCCACACGGCAGTTAGCAGGGGGAGTGCTGGCCACACCCCTGTGTGATGTGTGATGCCCTTGGCAAAGAATCTACCGGAATAGATTCCAAGGAGCAGGAGTGCTCAATAAAATGTTGGTTTCCAACAGACTCTGGTCCTCTCTGGGGGTTGGCAGTACCTGCACAGGCTTCCTCTTGCCCCAGGGAGGCGCACCGTGTTGGTGGGGAGGGCAGGGCCTGTGTGTTCCTAATCAGATCCTTTCCTGCAGCCGGGGACCACAAATGCCGTCTTGGTTTGGCCCGACGGTTTGCCTTCTCCCTTGTCCTGGTCTGTGGCGTAAAATCCACTGTTGGGGGTTATTTCCTTTGGGCTTTCAGTTCCTGTTTAGGGGATGCCTGTCTCTCCCTGCACAGACTTCCCGCCAGAAGGACGCAGCCGTGGCTGTTCTACCAGAACAGAGCCCCTCACTCTCTGGCACACAGTAGGCACTCAATACATATGTCTTGGGTATGTCAACAAATGTGGGACTCTGTTTCCCAGCTGTCAAGTGAGGGGGTGAACAAAACTGCCAAGGCCAATTGGGTTCTACAACCTTTCAGATTTGTGACCAAGGAGCCCTGGGGGGCAGGCTGGCGGTGGAGGAGGGGCTTCCCTAGCACTGGCCCAACTTGAGGCCACACCAGCATGTCCCCAGCATCCACAGAGCAGTGCAGCCTGCAGCAGCCAGTACGCCCCTTCCCACTGAGAGGGCACACCCGCCCATGGTGCAGGGCTGGCAGAGGCGGGGCCAGGCTTCCAGCTTCCCCACACACCAGCCCCGTGGCATCATCCTTCCCAACATCCAAACGTTTTTCCAAGGGGGAGAAATGGACTGGGTCATGTAAAGAAATACTCATTTTTAGGGCTTTTTATGTGGCCTTCAAAGCACGTTGCAAATAAATCCCTTTCACTCCTCAGAGGAGGAGCCATTAGGAAGGGAGGGTGTGGCAGGTGCAGCCTACAGCCTCTCCTCAGGAGGGCAGAGGGCGTTATCCCATTTGAGCCACCTGCAGTCATCTCGGGGGCTCCTCAGGGTCCAGGTCCACAGGTTCGAGGGTCTGCAGCACATTCACGGCGCTGTAGGACTTCCAGGCCTGCATGTTACAGCTTTTCAGGATGGCTCCCAGCTGCCTGCCGGGGCCTACTTCAAAAGTTTGGGGGAACTCTCTGCCCTTTTTCCTTTCATATATGGCATGCATCGTCTGCTCCCACTTCACCGGGGAGACCACCTGCTGAGCCAGCAGCTTCTGGATGTGGCTGGGATGCATGTATCTATGCCCGTGGACATTGGAGTAGACAGAAACCAGAGGCTTCTTAATGTCAATTGCCTTTAAAACTTGCGTCAGGGGCTCCACAGCTGGCTCCATGAGGCGGGTGTGGAATGCACCACTAACCGGTAACATCCTGGCGCGTCTGAAATGAAACTTAGAGGAATTCTTCTGGAGAAACCGTAGAGCCTGGGGAAGGAAGGAAGTTTCAGCCGGGCAATGTCCCAGAAATCCGCCTTTAGGGATCTGACCATTCACATGGCCAAACTGGGAGGGTGACCACAAAGAGACCCACAGCTGTTAGATGTGGACATGTGACCTGTCTGTCCCAGCACCATCCCCAGGCAATTCACTTAACATCCTGGAATCTCTTCTGTCTCATCCCTCAAATAAGCACAATTCCATCTACTTCACAACGCTGCCAGGAAGAGCAAACCCTACAAGGCACGCAACAGTGTCTGGTAAAGGAAAAAGCACTATCTAAGAAGTGTTAGTTCTCAGAATTCTATCACTCCTTTCATAATTTTTGACCAGTCTGTTTGCTTTTTATTCCATCATCTTCAAAATAAAAATTCAGAACTAAAATTCAAGCCCCATTTCACAAAGCAGGGTCTGGGATATTGTCACCTTCATCTGGGGTTTCTCTGGAGGAGAAAAGAGCTCTCCTCTTGATGCCAAAAACCTCCCCGGAGGCATCTGAGCTTAGAAGGGGACTCGGGCAAGCCAATAGCTCCAAACCCTTGCAACAGTTAGCAAGCAACAGAACTTGCAAAGGTCTTTAAAATAGCAGATATTCTTTTAATTTTTATTTTTTATTTTTTTTGAGACAGAGTCTCACTCTGTCGCCCAGGCTGGAGTGCAGTGGCCGGATCTCAGCTCACTGCAAGCTCCGCCTCCTGGGTTTGCGCCATTCTCCTGCCTCAGCCTCCCGAGTAGCTGGGACTACAGGCGCCCGCCACCTTGCCCGGCTATTTTTTTGTATTTTTTAGTAGAGACGGGGTTTCACTGTGTTAGCCAGGATGGTCTTGATCTCCTGACCTCGTGATCCGCCCGTCTTGGCCTCCCAAAGTGCTGGGATTACAGGCTTGAACCACCGCGCCTGGCCTAATTTTTATTTTTTTTAATTATTATTTTTTGAGATGGAGTCTTGTTCTGTCACCCAGGCTGGAGTGCAAAGGTGTGATCTTGGCTCACTGCAACCTGAACCTGCTTGAACTCACAGGTTCAAGCAATGCTCCTGCCTCAGCCTCCCAAGTAGCTGGGACTCTTAAGTGTGCACCACCAAGCCTGGCTAATTTTAGTAGAGATGGAGTTTCACCATGTTGGCCAGGCTGGTCTTGAACTCCTGGCCTCAAGTCATCTACCCACTTTAGTCTGTCAGTGTTCCCTTGAGACTGCTCCCATAGCCTGAGTCCTGGGCTGAAGACACCCAGCAGAACTCAGCCTGGTGAGCACAGACCAGGAGTGGGACCTGTGCTTGTGTGCTGTGACCACTGAAATGTGGGCTACTTGTCACTGCAGCAAAACCTGGCTTGTACTGACTCACCCATGCTTCCCCTCCACTATCACCCTCCATCCGGCTTCATCCCACTGAGGGCTGGATTGCAGGAACCAGGAGCCTCTTTGGTCTGGGCCTTCTGGACTCTGTAGCCCAAGCCCCTCCCTCCACACCTAGATTGTCTGAGTGACTGGCAGGTATGGGGATGGCTACTCAGTAGCACATCCTGGAGCATTTGTGGTCTCAAAGTGCTTTCCGTGTAAGGTCTCTGGACTCTGGCTCAACAGTTGAGCCCTCTCAAGTCCCAGGCTAGGGCCACAGGGGTCAAGGTCACCATCACAGGGGCCAGCAGGCTCCTCTGCAATGGCCAGTCCTTGGCCCAGGCATTGGGCGAGCAGGGCCCAGGAGCCTTTTCACATCAGTTGTTGGAAAGGGGCTTCCCCACTGAGGAGTTACCCCTGCCCTCACCTGAGCTCTTTGCTGTGGCACTACCAAGAATACCAAAGGACAGCTGGGCACAGTGGCTCACGCCTATAATCCCAGCACTTTGGAAGGCTGAGGTGGGCAGATCACCTGAGCTCAGGAGTTCAAGACCAGCCTGGCCAACATGGTGAAATCGTCTCTACTAAAAGTACAAAAATTAGCTGGGCATGGTGGCGTGCGCCTGTAGTCCCAGCTATAGGAGAATCACTTGAACCTGGGAGGTGGAGGTTGCAGTGAGCCAAGATCGTGCCACTGTACTGTAGCCTGGATGACAGAGTAAGACATTGTCTCAAAAAAACAAAAAAAAAAGTACCAAAAGGACAAACCTAGGAGTTGTCACCTAGACTGGGTGCACCTGTCTGGGAGCCTGTTGGGGAGACTCCTGCCCTGACTGGGAGGTCCTTCCGGAGTCACTTCTGGGCTTCCTTCCACGGCTGCTACAGGGAATGCATAACGAGCTCCATGACTGACCTGGGGCCACCGTACCTGACTTGCCTGCCACCTCAGAACAGTCACAGGAGGCTCCCGCCAACTTCCACTACTTCAGAGGAGTCAGTCGGGAACGCCTGGCATACAGTGAGCCCTCGAAGGGGAAGGGGAGTCAAGCAGTCAAGTGGAGGAAACAGACTCCAGAGTGAGACGGGCTCAGGCTACCATCCCCAAGCACTCGCCTCTCTCTGCCTCAGCATTCTGGTGTGGAAGATGTGATTAAGAAACCCTTCCTTTAGCTGGGTGTGGTGGCCTGTGTCTGTAGTCCCAGCTACTTGGGAGACTGAGGTGGGGGGATCACTTGAGCCCAAGAGGTCCAGGCTGCAGTGAGCCATGATGGTGCCACTGTACTCCAGCCTAGGCAACAAAGTGAGACCCTGTCTCAAAAAAAAAAGCAGCGCTTCCTTCCATATAGCACAGGATGGGCTGTGAGTAAGTAAGACACGAAGACAGACAGAAATGCCTGGTCTGGGCAGCAGCCCCTCACACGGGCTGCAATCTGCGCTCACTCCGCATTCCCCGAGCCGGGCACTCAGCACCCACTGCTCTTTCCGTAGGGGGCTCCTGCCGCTCTGCTCAGGATGCCCCACTGCTGGTGAATGCGCGCCCATCCTCCAGCTGCTGCCTCCGGGGGTTGCTCTTAGGCCCATCAGTAGTCAGCCAGACCCTCACTGCGCCCCTCAGCCTGGAGTCATCCATTCACAGGGGTTCTTCCTTTGACGCTAGGAACCCTGGCTAATCAGTCTGTGCGTCCCCAGCGCTTGATAAATGTTTGGGGAAGTAGCAAATGGAAGGAAAGATGGTGGAAAGGAAATGGACTCCAGTGCAAAAACAGACACCTAAAAAAAGCAGGGCAGGCAGAGCGATCTAGCAGAAAACAGATCTCTTGGTCGGGCGCGGTGGCTCACGCTTGTAATCCCAGCACTTTGGGAGGCCGAGACGGGCGGATCACGAGGACCATCCTGGCTAACGTGGTGAAACCCCGTCTCTACTAAAAATACAAAAATTAGCCGGGCGCGGTGGCAGGCGCCTGTAGTCCCAGCTACACTGGAGGCTGAGGCAGGAGACTGGTGTGAACCCGGGAGGTGGAGCTTGCAGTGAGTGGAGATCGCACCACTGCACTCCAGCCTGGGCGACAGAGAGAGACTCCATCTCAAAAAAAAAAAAAAGAAAAGAAAACAGATCTCTTTTCTCTAAGGAAGCAACCAGATCAGAGGCTCCTCAAAAGCCCAGAATGTACTACGGGAAGGCCCTGGAGATCACCTGGCCCTGCCCCTTTACATGGGCTGGCTGGTTGGTTCCAGACCCCATTCTACACATGGTGGAGCAGGGCAGCATTCTTGCTCCTGCCCGCTTTGCAGCACTCAGTCCA